GACTTTCTGAGCCAATATTTTGGTTGCTAAGCAGGAGCGTTGTCAAGTGATACTGATATTATATAACACTTTTAATTAAGCGGGTACCTTGAATAAACATATTATTTGAGTTTCAAATAATACTGATTTCGTTGTTGGCTTAGGGGACATCTGTGAAAAAAATTCAGGGGCTCAGGCATGAAAATATGCTGCTTAAACACTATACTTTTCTGCTCACACTGAAAAAAAATTAGAGGGAACATTGATGGTTATTGAAGGTCATAGTTAATATACCATTTCAGAGATTTTATGGAACTGTGCTTTTTATGTATAGATATACTGGGTTTGGGATTAGAGTTTTAAAGCCTGACAAATTATAATCCTTGATTTAAGACCACAACTGGGACTGGAATTTCTGTTGCTAAGTGATAGTCATAAAGCATGTCACATGACCTTATGACACATGACACTTAGCAACAGCAATCCCAGCACTTCCGATTGTCATCATAACTCCCCTGTAGCTGGGAGGGAAGTGAAGTGGAGAGAATCCCAGATAAGAAATGCAGGTGCTGCAGTGGGATGGAGGAAGCCCTACAAGGCGCAGTGCAGTGTGGCATGAGCTCAGGGAGGCTGGGGAAAGAGGGTGTGAAACATGAGCATGCATGTGTGAGCACAAAGAGGCTGGAGAAAGAATATGCTGGGCTGTAGCTCAAGGCTTCTTGATATGCCGTGGGGCTGGGGTTGTAGGAAGCCCCTGAGCCACAGCACAGTGTGAAGGTGCAGTCTTCCCAGGGAGCTCAGAAGCCTAGTCCTAGCCCAGTGTGGGAAGCCTCCCTCCGAAGAATGAAATATTTTGAGGAATATTAAAAAGGCAGAATATTATGTTTTCCTAAATGGGAAACGGAGAAACATGTTTTTAGAGGTAGAAAGCAGCCCCGAAGTCTTTCTTAATAGCCCACAGCAGATGCCAGCACTTAAGAGATAAAGAACTTATTGAAAGAAGAAGCCAACTATTTAGATGGCTCTATTCATAAGCAAAGCAAATATTGCAGGCAGAAATCTATTCAAGAAAGGATATTTTGAAACTACTTGCAGCAAAGTTTGACAGCTAACAAAAGCAGAGTGATAGGATTAGAAGCAGCCCTTCACCCAGGAACCAACACAGGACAAAAGCCATTAGCCGCAAGAGGAATTGCCCAACACCCTTTCAGAATACAAAACTTTAAAGTCACAGAAACCTGGGAGCTCAGATAAACAGTATGCCAGAGGTTGGCCAGATTAGCTCAGACAAGCATCTAGGATTGCATTTCTTCTTTTACTTATACCTAGCTATGACTCCTACATAACCCCTAACTGACCCCATAGGAATCTGACAACAGCCAATAGAATATTAAAGGACACGTTCTTGCACAGGAACAGGAAGCTCAAATATAAAGCCCAAAGAAAGTATAAAACCTACCCACTCCCAACTCCATTTTTGTCAGCTGCCCATGTGGAATCACATGTGGTTCTGCTTCATCAATAAACCATATTTCCAATCAGCCTCCATGTTTCCAGTGTCATTCTCCCAGCTTGGAACTGAACCAGATGGACATTTCTTCCAACACCAGCATGGTCCAGCAGTACAAAGGGGCTTCTTCTCACTACAGGAAGTAAACCCAGCTCACTCCCATCCATAGTTGCTCTTGCCACCCTGCACTCCAAGGCCCCTGCTGATGAGGCATGCCTGCTGCCCTGGCTTTTTACATGGCCACTGCTGCCCATATAAGACCATCTTCCCCAGGTCTCGCAAGAAAACATATTGGGCAACCTGGGGAAAAAGTCAATTTCTTCCCCTTTTATGGTTCAGGAAAATGACAATAAAATATTTACCAGTTATATGAATCCATTTTTTAGAGTGGAAGGCCTAGAAATCAAAAATCCACTATTTATAGTTTTTAATAACCAGACTAAAACCAAGCTGAACTTTTAATAAGGTTTTTAAATATCTTATCAAAATTATGTAATTAATAATATGTATGAACTGCAAGACAAAGCTTTCTAAAAATAGCATTCAATTATGCTGTTCCTTGCTCAAAAGAAAATTCCAACTAAAGCACATGTTTTAATCATTGCATAAAGCACCCTAAAGCAAAACCAGTTTTCAGTAAGCAGATTCCTGCTTCACCCTTTGATTTGTCAAAATTCCTCACACAGAGAACTACAGTATTTTTATAAAAATTCCTTTCTGATGGCTTCTCATACATGTAACTACAATCCTTATTATCTTTAGTACAGAATAAGGAGAATTCATTTCTTAGTAAATATACATAGGATTGGCTTTGAAAACCTGTGTTAATTAGGCTGTGTGTCTTTATGCATTTTAACACACACTAACCTATGTTTTCAGGGAAGTGTTGCTTGTGGCCACTTAATACCGGCATCTGAACATGTTACAGAGCAAATCAGAAGGCTTCAAATTAGCGTGATCATCTTAGAAAAAAAGTGTTAAGGTTTTTCCCAATTTTTCTTCTCCATAATAACTGAATAACTGAATCAGCCTGTATTAATCTTATTTTAAAAGCTTTTTAAATTGTGTGTTATTGTTTAAGAACAAATTAGACAATCCAATTTTACACTTCTTTGTAAAAGTAAATTTAACCATTTCCAAACTTCTGTTTATGCATTTTTAATCAATAAATTATAAGCCTATTTGATGTTTTTAAAAAGCTAAATACATTTGAAATAATCATACTGCCAGTATTATACTGAGTATTAATATCAAGACTACCATTCAGGAATGGTAAACTTATTTAATGGCAAGTGTACTGAACCGTTACCTCAAACCAAGAGATGACAGATTATTTGTATTCATAAAACCAAAATTTAATTTTTTAAAAAAATTTTAGCTTCCAGGATACAATTCCATAATCAGATTATTCGAAAAAGATTCATATTGAAAGTTACTGGTTGTAAGAATTAAAGAGCTTATTTTTTTATCAGAACATTATTTCATGATTTAAATGATCTATGGTGCAAAAAACACATGAAATTATTTATTAAAATATTACTGACAATTATATTAAGTTCTTTGTCAATAAACACATTAAATTTATCTTTATGAGGATTGATAAGTACTATTGCCAAGAATTAATCAGCATGAATCTTTCTTATTTACTTATGTAAATAAAATTAGCTGGCTATTAAAAACAGTTCAACAAGTTCACATTGGATATATCTGGGGCATTTTGATACTGACATATTTAACAGCTTAACTATTTATCTTAATGTTATTCTGTTGCAATTTGTGTTTGCATTTTAAGTTTTGTGGTTTTTTAAGCTTCTTGGTTGAAAATAGAAGAAGCATAATGCTTATGATTTACTACTACATGATGGCAAATATTGAAAACCTCCAACTGAAAGGCTACATCATGCTAAATAGTGCGGACAGCCTCAATTGCAACTGCACCAGATATCGGATTAGCTGTTGCTAAAATAGATTTCTGGTCTCAGCCAGTTTGGCAACACTTATTTATTTTGTGAACTGCCATAATCATCAAGGACACTTGGCAATTACAAGAATAAAAACATCCTAAAGTATATTCCAAATATTATTTAAAGGTATATTAAATATTCAAAGTAAAAAAAATTAAAAAACAGAGCAATAAAAATGTTATGATTATATAGAGGAATTATTCATACATGTACATTTTAGTGATACAATAAAATCCATCCAGCACTGCAAAGAGAATGATAAAAAAACATAACTTTTAATTCTTAGTATAAAAGCAAACATTGAAAGAATGCTAGCAATGCCAGAATTTTTTCCCTGCTACTGATGTATCTCATCTGTTAAAGCACAGATCAGTAGCTCTATTAGATATCTGTAAATCTTGTAACAACAAATCTCAGACAATCACCAAATTTTGCAAAATTAATGCCACTTTGTTAGTGTTAATAGTGTGGGTTGATCAAAAAGGCTGTTTGGTGGAAAACCAAATAGTGCCACAAATTCTATGTTGCTAATCTATATGGTATCAATAACAAATTATTCATATATAATAACCGTGAGACAGAGAATCTGCACATTTAAAACAATTAAGAACAGAATCCTGATTATTTTCCATTAACTTTCTTTTTAAAAGCTGAGGAAAGTAATCCTTAAAAGATTTATTTACAGCAATATCTTACCAGTGTAGATGCTGGCACTGGAAGCTGGGATGCCAAACTGTGACTCAATGAACTTTGGAATAAAGGTAATAAAAGCAGTAACAATGGCACATTCAGCTGTGTATGACAAACTCACAAAAAGGAATGTCATGTTGCTTAAGATCCTGAAAGCTGCTCTTGGAAGTTCTATAAAAAAGACAAAAAGCAATAAAAGAAGGAAACCTAAATGTTGTCTAGAATGCATGGGAGACAAAGAACAATCAAGTATCATTTAGTGAGGAGTTGCCACTGGATACATAAAACTATGATTTATGAACAGCACATGAGCACTATAATTCTACCTTCTAACCCTAACCCTTCATTCACCACCCTTCAGCATACACATCTTCACCAAACTGGGATATTATTTTAATAAAAAATAATATTGGTACATGTATTCAACCTCTTCTTTTTGTCCAGCATCCCTAGCCAAAATCTATTTTTCATAATGCTGATAACAGCAGGAAAATAATAGATAGGATTTACATAGCTTTAGCAAGCTGTTCAAGCTTGATAAAGGCTGTTTATGGATTACAGCCTGCCCGATTAGGCTTGAAGCGACCCAATACTGATTTTTTTGAGTGAAACAATTTACTCTGCAACTAATGTAGAACCAATTGAACCAAAGTCTTCTACTTTAGTGCTACTTCTAAATAAATAAATATATTTTGTATCAGTTTTCAACAACAAATAATAATTCTATGAATTTGAAGTTCATCTTAATTTGATTTTTTTCAAACAGGAAATTTTTTACCTTTAACATTCTTTCCAAAGTTCATTGATGTAGAAATTTCCGGCTCTAGCTCATTTTTGCAATTCACTTTTTCTTTCACCAAATCATCATCACCTGAAACATCAGAGCGCATCTTTTTTTTCTTTTTCTTGTGTCGAGGTGGGAGTTTTTTGGGAAAAGCAAACATTGGAAGTATAACGAGAAGCATCACACTAGCACAAATGAGAAATCCACTCCACCTAAAATCAAAAGGTAAGAAATAACATTTACAAATAGGGTCACATTTATTACATCAAGCAATACAATAAGAGATACCACTGCCTATAAGCATACATATATGAGCAGTAATAGTGCAGTGGTTGGATTGCATGACTGCAGGCTACTTTTGCTGACTGCCAGTTGCCAGAAGTTCAGCAGTTTGATCCTGACCAGCTCAAAGCAGATTCAGCCTTCCATCCTTCCGAGGTCGGTAAAATGAGGACCCAGATTGTTGAGGGCAATATGCTGATTCTGTAAACCACTTAGAGAGTGCTGTAAAGCACTGTGAAGCAGTATAAAAGTCTAAGTGCTATTGCTATATACACACAAAAGCAAACCCTCTATAATAGGAAGCAGAAATGTACACTTGGTGTTATTGTTTGTCCCATAAAACAATTACCATATAAGTGATTTGAAGATCACAAAAACTGCATCCAAAACAGATTAAGCATCATGATCTTTGCTTAATGACCAGTTGTATAGCTACCATTCAAAGTTAAAAGGAACATTCTATTCTATTCCTATTCCTACTCCTACTCTATTCACCTTCCTATAATGTTGGCAAGCTGTGCCAGAAACGTGCACAAAGAATTAGAAACATATACATTAAAAAAATGCCAGGTGGAAAAGTAACACATCAGCTCCATTATTATTACATTTTTATAGGGTAACTTTTTTAGTTTAAATATTTCCAGAATAGAGAAATAAAATGATAAGTAAATAGTTGTAAAATTTGCAGCATTTGAACAATCTATACATTTTCCTTTGGCTACAACTATTCAAAACACAGCATACAGGATGAAAGAGTACATGACCAGATGTTAAATATTACTGATCAAATGTTAAACATTACTGCTACCTTCCACATAAAACCCCCACATGGTTGCAGCTTACCAGTTACCAATGAACCGTGGGTCACTTTGGTCAATCTGAATAGTACTTGTAGGATGTACATAAAACCCAATAAGAACTCCGCCTAATAAATATCCTGCTGCAGGACCAAGAGCTCCCATTACATACATGATAGCTGTAAAAGAGAAAAGAATATCCAAAACACATCAAACAATATGCTATAGTAATTTAACCATTTTCAAGAATAAAAGGGCATGAAACTAAGTGCTTTCCTGGGCTTTTGTACATTCATCACAGCTATTTATTCTTTTTTTTCTGCAATTTCTGTCTTTTCCCTATATTCTCTGTGCATGAGATAAAAAGGTTTTGGGAAAGTATGTTCCAGCCTATTAATAAAAACCATAGTTTGTGGTAAATCTTCCTTCTTTAAATTAAACATGAGAGAATAAAAACTGCAGTGTAACATTTAAGATTCAAAAACAAGAGCTGCTTTGGAGGTGAGGTTGCTTAAATCAACATTATATCCTGGGATCCTGCTACAGTTGTGGACAATGTTCCCTCTAATTTTTTTTCAGCGTGCACGAAAAAGTATAGTGTTTGAGCGACACATTTTCATGCCTGAGAACCTGAATTTTTTTCACAGCTGTTACCCAAGACAAGAACAAAATCAGTGTTATTTGAAACTCAAAGTTATGTTTATTCAAGGTACCCGCTTAATTAAGAGTACTATATATCAGTATCACTTATAATACTGCAAGTCTATAATATTAAAATACTTGTATAATGTTTACGGTAATGTACACTGGTATTCACTGAAAGTCTGTCTCATCTTACAGTTTCTCACGTCTGTCTTTCTTTAACGACCATTCCGAGTACACCCTGTCAAGATCAATCTGTGCCGCTGAAGTCTGGTTAAGCTCGGATTCGCATCAGCATTTCCAAGTGCTCAGTTTGCAGCCGATTGCGAGCTTTGGTCTTGATGGCATTCATCAGGCTAAAACCTCGCTCGCAATCGGTGCTTGACGCTTGGAATGTTGCGCAAATGTCCAGCAGACATGACAGCAATCCAAACTGTTGCTCTCTTAGTACAAACTGAACTACATCATCAAATGAGTGCATTAATCCAGACTTGAATTTCTCCAAAATCAGAAATCTGAAGTCATGATACCGTGACTGTACAGCTGATGTTATGCTGACTTCATCCAAATCGTCAAAGAAATGCTGGTATTTTCCAATCAGTTGCAATCTCAGTTTTCCCCAAATTAAAAGAGATCACATTTGACAAAGCAGCAATTTCGAATATATTCCAAACTGTCAGCTTGTTGTCTGGAAAACAACTGTCAAGATGCAAGCACAAACGTTCAATAAATCTGAGTATGGGAGCCGTGTCAATGTCTGGGTTGGTCTGCATATATTCGCAAGCTTCGTTATTCCAGTAAGCTGTTTTGCCTAAATACTGCAAGCGAAGCTTGGTTATTCTGGCCTTCACAAACTGAACGGCTTCGATTGGTGTCAGGTCGCTTCTTTGCAACAGCTTGTTTAACTCGGCTAATTCACGAACGTCGTCAAACACAATCAATGGAGTACGAACCTGTGGATTCATCAACTTTCTGTAAGAATATTTGCAGACTGGGTCACTGTGTTTTTCTGTTTGCTCTTTACAGTACTCAACCAAAACTATAATGTTTCTCATCAATCATTGCTCGCAATGCAAAATGTCTGGAAAGCCATCGTACTTTATTCAACAGTCTGAAGGCTACCGATTCACACTCAAGAACTTCTGCTAGTTCTGCAAATGCAGTTTTCTTCACAGAAGAGGGGCAGAACAGAGTGTAGACAGTTTGTAGTAAAATCTCGATGTCTTTCATCAGTGAGACGTGCTTACATGCATCATCAATCCCCAAGTCTTCTCGATGTACCACACAGTGCTGTTCAAGCAAATGGGATACATTTCAAGCAGCCACACCATTATTCTTACCCAGCATCACAGACCCACCCTCTGACGTAAACATGACCATCTTTTGAATGTCAATGTTGTTTGTAGCATAGAACTCTTTTATGGCTGCTGTGATTGCTGTGCTGTCGCATGTTGACAACTGTAAAATTCCTGCAAATACGATCTGATAAATCGCAGCATTAGACGGGCGGAATTTCGCATACAAAATCAACATTTTGGTGACTGATACATCAGTGCTTTCATCAGCAATAAGGGTATGACAACTGGCATTACATAGATCATGCATGACTTCTTTCTGAACAACTGCATTGATGCACTCCACAAACTCAAAGCCATAATTCTTGCTGCGATTTATAAG